GCATGAGACAGAATAATGCTTTGGGCCAAAGTCTTGAGGTAAACAGTCCATCTAAGTTACTGCTACATAAATGAAACCAGAGAGCGTTGACAGAGAGGAGAAGGTAGAAATGACTCAGCCTGGAACTGAAAATATGGATGGAGGACAACAGAGCTGCTTCATGGAAGAACAACCTCAGATTAGGCTGTTAGCTTGTCACGGTAGCGCTGAGCTAAAACATATAAGGCAATATAGCATCAGCCCTAAAGCTAAAGCTTGCCACAAGAACACCTGGGAGACACAAACATGGAAGAAGGCTCTGTATCGCAGCAAAAGGTGCTGCTATAAAAGTATTAACGCTACAGGGCCAAATAATTTTACACTCAATTTTCCAGTATTTGTTCAAAAAGTTAAAAATATCCAATAAATTTTGTTCCACTTCATGATTGTGTCCCATTTGTTGATTCTTCACAGAATAAATAAATAAAATTTTATCTCTGTTTGAAGCCTTAAATATGGCAAAAGTTTGAAAAGTTACAGGGGGCTGAAAACTTTTGCAAGGCACTGTATTTAAACTATAAAAACACACAATCACAGTAGATATTGTAAATAAACTTGTTTTTATTTAAGCATTTAAAACTCTCCCATTACACGATGCATTCAGGTACAATTGTCACAAGCTTGTGCAACAAACCATTTCCCTCAAACCGTTACGATGCAGGGATGAGATTTTTAAACTGCAAACCCATAAAACAGCAGGTGTTTAATCCATCCGGACCGATCCTCCGTCCCTCTAAAGTGCTGCTCACAAACATTCAGGACGAGAGGACCGTCACCGGATCGACCAGCACAGCTCCAAACCTTGCTTTTTAGTGACAACCAACACGAAGGCGGCTCCGAGGGCCGGCGTTCAGTCCAGACTTCTGAAAACACGTCAACAATTTGATGAAACTGGGTGAAAAGATGGAGCAAAGAATATGTTTATTAATTTAAAGTTTCAAAATAAAAGCCTGGATTGTAGCTGGCCTTCAACAGCTCTAATTCAAACTTCGAACAGATTTCTAAACTTTTTGGTTTTCCAGTTTGAAGAAATATATTTTTTAGCTCTTCCTTTGCTCCAACTCTCCATAAAACGTTCTCCTTCAGATAAACCGTTAATCTGTGAGCTGAAGCGTCGTCGCCCTCAGAGCCGTGCAAAAAAAAAATCAATCATGTCTCATGAAATTAAAAACATTCAAATTTTTATTGGCACAAAGATGCATATGGCACAAAAAAAAACTTTAGCCTAACTTAAAAAAGAATTATTCTGATATTAATTTTCCTCAGCGGTTTGATAAAATTGAGTTCAAATATAAAAACTGAATCAGGTACTTTTGCGTCATCGTTCTAGTTTTAGTGATAAATATTTTATCTTTAAAGAACTTTTCCATCCAGTTACACATTTAGTGTCACACACACAAAAAAAATTTTTTTGGTCACTGCTCAATAATAAAAATTTATTTTTTTAATTTTACGTGTCAAATGTTTCAAAATGTTTTTAAAGAATCATGAAATAACGGAAAATTTAACGTTTGTAGTGAGTTCAGGGAGAATTAGTGAGCCTGAACTAAACAGCTTGAAATCAAAACTAGAGTTTTATTCCTGTAAAAAAACTTTTTAAATTTAAATTAAGGCTTTAGATGAGTGGAGCAGCTTCAGACGTTCCTCTGCTTTGACTCATGATTAAACACGATTCTGCAGAAGTTGTGGGGAAACATCTAAAACCTGGAGGATGGTGGTCTTCAGGGACCAGAACTGGACCAGATCTGCTTTAGGTGGAAACATTTTGTGCTTTAAAAGCTGCTCAGTTTGTTTCTTCTTTCAGCTGCTCTGACAGAAAAGTGTGTTGGTGACGCCTGACAGACACGACTGAGGGCAAAGACAGCAGTTCGGTTTATTTGATAATAAAACTGAATGATTAAATCTTTATCTCTTAAACTGAACTTATAATTTTGAGGGATCATGGATGCTCAAACTGTTTTCCTTACGTGCAAACAGACTTTTCATTCGGACTCGTTTTTGAGCAGAAAACTGAAAAAATATTTACAGATTTTATTTTGAAGAAACCGCGCAGCAGAAAGTCTGATTTGAGCTGGGTTCATGCTCTGAAATGCTACAACAAATGCCTCAAGTTAATTCAAGTCGGATTTTCTTAAAAACAAGACAGAATTCTACATTTTTTAAAAAGCTAATTTTGTTTTTTTACTTCTGCATATTCCTGTTTCTAGCTCCGATTATTTGTGAGAAACTCTCTGAATGATTATTTTTGCACACCGACACGTTGAAAAAACAGGAAGGTGATCAGAACCATGAAGGCTCTGATTCGAATCGAGTCCTGGATCCAGGACAGGATCCTACGGGATCAATCTTGTGCCAGCAGGAACTGAATTTGAATTTCTCAGATTGAATCTGAATGTTCATAATTTGAAACTGAATTCATTGGTTTGAAAATAAAGTTCACTAAATTGAAAACAAATTTAAAGTTTTGAATTAATTTTCTTTGAAACTGTATTTTGGTTTATTAAAAAATTCAGTTTGACTACTTTCACTTTCAGTTCCATAATTCAGATTTTTGTGTCACATCCTGGTCCTTGAGAAAGTCACGGGACGTAAATGTAACATTTTCTATAGGTAAAATTAATCACTGCAATAAAATAACTTTGTGTGTTTTTGTCACTTTTACAGTGGATTGCATCAACTCTGTTACATCCAGAAGGGAAACTTCACCAAAGTGAAACATAAATCTGTGGATCTGTGTTTGATTACTCTGCCTGGCTTTCTCAAGGACCAGGATGTGACACAAAAATCTGAATTATGGAACTGAAAGTGAAAGTAGTCAAACTGAATTTTTAATAAACCAAAATACAGTTTCAATTTAGTGAACTTTATTTTCAAACCAATGAACTCAGTTTCAAATTATGAACATTCAGATTCAATCCGAGTGATTCAGATTCAGTTCCTGCTGACACAAGATTTATCCCATAAGGGTCCATCACCCAGCAGGACCCTGAATCCAGATCAGGACCTAAAGAGTCCAGCTGCTACTTGAAACGTCTCAAAGCTCAGAAACAAAGAAAAGCTCAACAGACTCAGACTCTTCCAGCTCTGATCTGTTTGGAGAAGAAGACGCTGACCCTGCGGTACTGAAGATTGTCTGACAGCTGAAGACGGACGGAGACGTCTTCATGTCTCTTTCTCTGCAGCAGCAAGTTAAAATGTTTAAAAAGAAGCAGAAAACTGATAAAAACAGGTACTTGGATTTCTTCTTGTTTTTCACATCTCCAGGGGAAGTGGGGGGGCACAGTGCAGAGGTGGCGGGACGTTGGCCCCACCCCCCGCGTTGTGGGCGGGGTCAGACGGCGGGTTGGCTGCGGTCGGCGGTGTCGGCCTTCTTTAGCTTGCCTTTGCTGAAGGACTGGATGGAGCTCAGCAGGGCGGCCCGGTCTCCGCCCGCTCCGTCCGAGGAGGACGGAGGAGGACAGGAGGACGAGTCCAGCATCGGAGGAGGAGCGGGGGGAGGTGGAGGAGGAGGTGTCGTGTGTGGTCCTGGAGACGAGAAAAGGAAAGGAGGAGTGTGAGGAGACAGCTGAACAAAAGACGAAACAAACTGCTTCCAATCTGGGTCCAAGACCAGGAGACTGTTCTGGTCCACTTACAGAGAGGAAACAGAAAATGTGAAGCACAGCTGAGAGGGACTGGGAGGGGCTTCTGGGGGCGGAGCTACAGCAAAGCAGGAGGAGCTGAAGAACCAATAAGTTGTGTTTAAGTTTTCAAACCAAATAAGAAGGTGGTCTCTGCAGAACATGTATTGTGGGCGGAGACAGCTCTACTCGTGATTGGCGGAGGTCTTGATGTGGGCGGAGACGGCCCTACTCGTGATTGGCGGAGGTCTTGATGTGGGCGGAGACGGCCCTACTCGTGATTGGCGGAGGTCTTGATGTGGGCGGAGACAGCCCTACTCGTGATTGGCGGAGGTCTTGAAGTGGGCGGAGATGGCCCTACTCGTGATTGGCGGAGGTCTTGATGTGGGCGGAGACAGTCGTACTCGTAGTGTAGCTTGGTGTTGGACAGGAAGCAACATGTTTTTTCAGATTAATTTGTCATAACTTGAGAAATGAAGGTGCTGGCTGCACAAAATTTGAAAGTCGTACATATGGAGGGACGAGTAACACTTTGGCTCAGTCAAAACATCCCTAACCAGCCTGTAAAAATAAGGTTAAAAAATCAATATGAATATTAGTCATAATTTGAGACAGGAAGAAGCTTGTCGCATGAAATTTTAAGTCATATTATGTTTACATTTTCACAGTAACTTTTAGTTGAGTCATTGTTCTGGTCTAAACTGTACCTAAACAGTCAATAAATCATATTTTTTTTACTATTATTACGTCCTCTTGTACATTGCCCCACAAGACATGTCAATCCAACCAATCACAGTTAGGGAAAACTCCGCCCACACACCAACTTCGCCAATCACGAGTAGGGCCGTCTCCGCCCACAAGACAAGGTACTGCAGAGACCCCCACTTAAACCAAGTCCACGTTTGTCTCGACCCTCCTGCTGCCCTGAGGTCAAACAGACCCACAAGACCTCAGTCCTAAAACTCAGACCTCATGAGTCCGTTTAACCTCAGGACAGCAGGAGGGTTAAAGTTAACAGATCAACCATAATTTAACACTAATTTAAAACGAACCTAATTACAGATAAAATACATTTTTATGTTTTATTTAAATTAAATATTAAACGGGTCCTGCAGCTCATTTAGAATAAAAAAAGTTGTCTGGAGTTCATCTGTTAGTTTCTGTAAATATTTTCCTTGTTGGAAGCAGCACCCACAGGTCAGTCAGTTCAGAAACTTAATTTTACAAAAGAAAACATTTTCATATTAAAGAAATACTTAAGAGTTTCAGTCAGAAACTGATCTTTTGCATCTGCGAAACAGAAATAAATAGAAATAAATTAAAATAAAGCCGAGGAGCGAAGAAAAAGAAGCAAAAATTGCAACGTAATGAAAAAATAAAACATGTAGCAGTTTGACGGAGGACACCCGACCTGGAGAAACTCTCTGGAAATGTTTTGTGTCACATTGGAATAAAAATATATATATTTAATGACGTCCAAAGTTCAGACATCAGAGGACGTGGACTCTCCAGGACGAGTGTTGGACAAACTGACTTCATCACGTTTCTCATTTTTCATCTAATATTCAGATAAAAAAATATAAATGAATATAAATGTGATTAATCTGCACCATTCTCCTCAACAAACAAAATAAAAGTCAAGAATCTCAGAAACAACTGATTAATATTCCTCTAATTTTATTATTTCACCTAAAACATTTAGTTTTTAAAGACAGCTTCAGAACAGATGTTCTTTTAATCCCTCAGATTAAAAAACAAACCTGACATAATCTGAAGTTTAGATGAGACCAAATTTAAAAACAAATTCTTAAAATCTGCTTTTAATTTGGTCATTTTGAGATCAGCAGCATTAAATTAAAAAGAAAAACAAACACGCAAATAAAAATATTTAACCAAAAAGTGCAAATTAAAAAAGCTCCTCAGCAATATGTTGTAATAAACCGTAAGGAGATAAAAAACAAAAAACAAACAGAGACACTCAAACATGCAGCAACAGAACGGACCAATCACAATCTGCAATGAAAACAGGAAACAGGAAGTGGCACTGTCGGCTGCAATCGTTGTAGATTGTGACGTGTTTAGAAAGATGTGCGAACATCCTGTCAGGAGCAAGAAGTGGGTTTTATTTTTATTATTCTGGTCTCATTTCAAACTCTGAGTCCAGGATTAACGAGCAGAGAAACTGATCGATCGTTTTGTTTTTGTTTTTATTAAAAATTATCTGAAGAAAAAAAACAATAAATAAATAAATATCTGTAGATTAATGTCATCAGTCTGAGGTCTGTGTGCACAGACTCACTAATCAGCCTTTTTCTGAAACAGGCTTTTATTTTGAAGGAATACAAAAAGGTGGCTGTAGGGGTTTTGGAGGAGCTGTTTTGTTATTAGTCAACGTAAAATACTGACTTTGCTGAGTTTTAAAACTTTTAATGTCTATAAATTACAGCTGGAGTAAAAACTTCAGCAGTTTGAACTCTAAAATTGCACAAAAGTTTTATTTAAATATTTGTTTAAAAAGTGACACCATAGATCACATAAATGTTAATTTGCAGCTTAAGAAAAATTAAAATCAAACATTTAGCATGTATTTAATTTAAATTTCTTGAATATTTTGTGACCAGAAGCTCGCTGAGAGTCCAGGATGTACGACACCTTTAAAAAACCAGCAGACCTTCATCATCATCATCATCATCATCATCATCATCATCATCATGGAGGTTAAAATAGTTTACTTTACCCAAAGACACGGTCAGAATGGAGCATGCTCTACGGTGGAGACGGCACAAAGAGAAGAGAAACAGGGAGATGACCGTTAACCGTTCATTGGACCAATCAGCATTTAGAGGAGGAGGAGAAGGACGAGGAGGAGAAGGACGAGGAGGAGGAGGAGGAGGAGGCTAACAGGGTTTGAGAAAGCAAAAAAGTCCTGATCCGGTTTCGTCTCCTCAGACTTACGTGAGGAGATTTGAAAAACATTTGGTTTGAACATCTAAAACTTGTTCCCACAGTCCTGAACTCTGCTACCTGTAGACCCACGGGAGGAAACACACCTGTGTGAAAACACACGATGAGGACAGACACACAGGTGTACCTGTAGTGGATGGAGGAGTGGGCGAGGAGGGACAGGTGGGAGGAGAGCTGGCTCCAGACCCTGAGAGGAAACAGGAAATTTAAAAGTTCAGGTTCTGAAAACATCTGATAAATTATTTTCAGGTCAAACAGAAAAAAAAAAAAAAAAAAACTCACCAGAGTTGTTGTTGTTTCTCACAGAAACGTCTTCTTCATTTTCATAAGATGACAGTTTGGATTTCTGCAAACACACAGTCAAACTGTTGACCTTTGACCTCTGCTCAACGTCATGTTTATAAAAGATGCAGAAGAGAAACCAAACTCCTGTTTGTCTGACCTTCCTCGCCAGAATCTTCCTCCTCTTCCTCTCCTCCTCGGAGCCGTAGTGGGACTGAGCCCGGGTCAGCCGCCGGTGCTGATGGAGCTGAGGTCAGACACAAACTATGTTTATTCTCATTATTAACCAGTTTTCACCGCCAGGTGGGAGGAGCTAAACTGGATGCTGCAGGATCAGTTTGAACCTCTTTAACCTCTGATGAGCTCGTTCAGATAAAACCAGAGGAAAAATGTGACCCGTCACATCGAGAAACAGGCAGATAGTGTTTTGATTAAAACACTTACAAAAATTACATTTTGTCAAAATATAACAAATAATTGTGTTATCAATGTATCGTTTCAATGAACTGTGTATGGAGGACAGAACCTATCATTATTGGAAATAAATGTATTAATATATAACTGGCG